GGCCTCTGCTGACATAGCGCAACACCTCCTGCTGCTGCTGTCTCCCTGCTCGGGGCCTCACAGCCTCCCCTCAGTGGCCCCAGGGGCCAGTGCCCACTCCGGAGAGACCCCGCGATGCACAAGGGCGCGTGGCAAGAGTCACTCTTCCTTCAGGCGCCTGAGCTGGCCCCTTCCCACTGGGGCACCTCCAGCGCAGGTTGATGCCTGGTTCTGAGGCCTTGCGAGCGCTCAGGTGCAAGGTGACTTCAGCCCTCGCAGCTCAGCCCACACATGGACGCGCACACACGCAGACTGCTGGTTGGGATGTTAGAATATAGCTGCTGGTGTGTGAAGCTTTTGAACGTACTTTTTGGAAACTCATGCCCAGAATATTTTACAATATATGGGGCCTGCAAAAAATTGTAGGAATACATATATTAACCTCTTTTCCTTATATTGTTAATGGAAACAATATATTTCTGTAAAGCACAGATGAATATTGTAAATTATTTTCTTTTCATTCTTGTTCCTTTCTTCCTCCTTTAAATTTTTGATCCTACACACAGGCTGTGCTTCAGCTGTGTGCCTCTGAGGTAACACCTGAGAAGTGACTGGAATGTGAGCGTGGATGCACCGCCAGATCTAGATACAGCATCTGGAGCTGCATCCACCGTGTCATTGTAAATCCGAGCCCAAAGCACGTCTGCCTGCAGTGCAGTGCTTTAACCTGAGCAACTGGCAGGTGAAAAGTACCACAGCCCCAGCCCCTTATCCTGCTCAGCTGTGAGTAATAGTCTGTTCAACCATCAGGAATCCTGCGGTCTGGGTCATGAGGCCCGGCTTGGGATTCCTTGTCACTTGGCCTTTTCCTAAGGTTGAACATCAGTGTGACTGACCGAGCACATGTGGGACTACTGAGTCTCTAATTTCAGAAAAACTGTAGTGTTGTGTTCTGTTAAAGCCCAGGCTGCTGGAGTTGGGATGTCTCAGCAGAGCAGCTGCTCAGTCTGAGACATGTGATGATAACCAACCGTCAGTCAGGCTGCTGAATTCTGCAAATAAAGAGACAGAGAAGTGTACACGCTTCTACAGAGCAAGGAAGAGTTGCTTTTTTCTCTCCAATTTGTCATGGACAACTCCTTTCTTTTCAATTCATGATTTTGGGACACATATGTTAGTATTTTTGTCAATGCCAGAGTTAATTAATATTCTTATTTTTTGTCTCCTTTATGCTAGAAGTACCAGTTGAGCCTGGTACCAAAACTGTAAGTGCTGTTAAATGCATAATGAAGTCCAAAGCACTGAAAGATCTAAAAGTCCTTTAACAAATAGCCGTGTGAAAGAAACATAATGGAAATAAATCTAACTAGTATTACCCATTAAAATACATAAATAATTTGTGAAAGATCTTAAACACACAACCAATATAAACGTGTTCCTCAAGATCACAAACAGAGAGGGAGTTTGTACTAGAAACTGGGAGAATAAGGACATACGTTCCAGTTCTGGTTTTGGCTGCTAGTTGCAGGTCACCTTCAGAAATAAAGTATATATTAAATATTTAAAATTAGGGATAATTAAGATTCTAGTAAATTCTTACATTAAAAAAATAACAAACCTCGTGCACATTATAATACAAAGCTAATGACAATAGCAAATGACATGCAGTAAGCATTCTCATGTGTACGGTACCTATTAAAAAAGGATGTGTTCATACCGACATGCATGTAGAATTTGCACTCCTCTTGTAATCTACCAAAACCATTTATCAATATTAACAGTATTTCAAACCATTTTCATGTTTTTGGTTAATTGTTTATGGTGTGGATTAACACAACTTTTTTGTTTTAATTTAGACTAGTCCAAACTACAGCGTAATACTAGTATTCCTTGACATAGCTGAAATACTATCCACTTGTCCAATAAAGAGGTAACATGAATCATGCACAAAATAACAGAGTTTAGAGGTTTAACAGTTTAGAGGTTTTTAAGTATCACATGATGCCAATAGAATTTTTGTCATATATGGTTTTTATTAACACATATCAGTTCTGCTATAAACTACTGCTTTATCACATCCATTTTTTATGTTTATATTGCTGCTTTCTAACAGGTTGTTCATTTTAGCTGTAGACATCTTTGCTGACTAAAAGACCAAAATATATATACGTGCACACAGATACCCTTCCCCCCCCATGTGAATGTATATGTATGCATGCGTCTGTTATAAAAATTAATTATTACTGAACAAAAATATATAGTTGCTTGTGTTGGATCTACTGTAAGAAAATACAGCTGCTCTGTCAGTCGGCAAAAGGAGGAGGATAATTCCAGAGGTACAGATCCACAGCAGAGAATGCCCAGCTGGAAGCTCTCCCCAGCTGATCCGTTGTGTTGTGGCACAGCTTGAAACAGCAGCTTCCCAAAGTGTCAGGTTGCAGATCCTTCAGGGTAAGACAGTGATGTACTCACTGTCATCAATTTCTGTAAATAAATAAATAAAAAAAAAGATGTTGTCATTGCAAATGGCTCCGCTGGAAGCCCATGGTGAGCAGGACGGCCTGTGGCTGTGTTGCTGGGCGGGTATCAACAACTCAGTGTGGTTTATCGGTATCCTGCTATTCCAGGGCCAATGTTCAGACCCCGTGTCCCGTGGACTGGGTCCTCCAGGAGCCCCTATGGAGGCAAAGTCTGCATTGTCTTTTCTGAGCCAGCAAGCTCTGTTATTGAACACTTGTATCCATGTGAGACCCCTTCTTTCTGAGGAACAGCCGAACGTTGGGAATCATCCATACTTAGTAAATGAGATCAATAGCTGAGATGGATAGATAGATAGCTGTGACTATAGTGTAACAGACCCTTTCTTCTCTAAATAAACACCTAACAGAAAAGCTCTCCTCCCAACTAAGGGAGAAAAGCCTGAAAACACCCTTTCTCTCTTAGATCTTGTCAGATTTATTATGGTTTTTGAGAATCCAGGGGAAAGCCAGAAATTGAATGTTTGGGACTTAGTCTCCACTATGGAAACCTCTTGTCTCTTCAAGCAGCCACCCTCAGACAAGCTGTTCCTAGGCTAGACTACAATGTTAGAAAATGTCCAATGACCAGTATTGTGACCCCAGTCCCTTCAGGTGTTCCACGGGTTGCACTGGAGCACTGAGTCCTGCACAGGCCACAAAGCCAGCTGCCGGTGCAACATGAGGGACCTGGGCAGAAAAGTGTGATGCTGGCTTTAGGAAGCACTGCGGTGTTTCACGTAGTGCTTGCGTTTCAGAGAGATACCCATCATGACATTAACCCAAGCTCCCCCTGTGAGCATGTAATAAAGCAGTCTGAGGGGGAAGTTTGGAATGCTGTATAGGAGAAATTTAAATTAAAATTGAACAGCAACAATTGCAAAGTAATTCATTTCTTAACGCCTCCATTTTTTATGGACAACCACAAGCATTTTGACAGTGAAATGAAAGGATTTCTTTTCCTTCCTGTGAGTCCAGACCAGGACATTGTGCATCTTCTAGAAAAGTTCATGTTGCAGGACCACACAATAAAATATGTGTTACACTTGATTTTTCCTAAAAAACATATCCATGCTACTGCAGTATTTTCCATCTCCCTGGAGCAGCAATGACAAGATACTGTACAAAGCTTTTTAGAGCAAATGTGGCATATCTGCCTTAATGAAACAAGTGATAAGGTAATGTTGGAGACACTGGAAATGTCTCTTTACTGCTGTTTCTCTTGGCAAGGCTGTTGCTGTACTGGACCCTAAAAATGGCTTAATGCATGAAGTGGTGGGGAGAGCTCACCCCTTCCTATCCTGTCTGCTTGACACGGGGAGCTGCCAGAGCTGTTGCGCTGCTGTTGTCTGCAAAAGACCAGCACCTGCTGTATCAACAGGAGGTATGGCTGCAGCACAGAGGGGCTGGCCCACACGGACACATTTTAGCTAGCATCGGTTGTGAGATATAAATCACACAGAAGACTGGATACTCCAAGATTTTTTCCTTTGTGATAACCGTACTTAATGAAAGGATTTCCCTTGCCCACACATGCTCTTACTGTGGCTCTCATTAGCCAGAGGACCTGGAAGAGTTTCAAGGTTATTCTGTAGCCTGTGACCTGATGGATACCGCAGCTGAGCATTGTATAACAGTAACATGAAGAATTGGGTTTCAAAAGTAGCAAGTTACCAATAGTATCTCTATTCATCCTTCCCAAATCAAGGATGTAAAGATGACATGGGACTGTAAAACATGGGCTACCGCTTTTTGAAAACCGCCACCCTTATTGTATAAGGGTATATTGTATTATTTGCATAATATTTCTGTCAGGTAGAAACATTGTCTTATGCCTGGGGCTTGCGAGCAGCATAGATTAGCAGAAGATCAACCATAGACTGAACTCTCTGGTTCCAAAGCTGTAATCCTGAGCACAAGGCTATATGCTTCTTATTTTCAACATAAAAACTTTAAAAATTAGTCACGTTTTAGTACAAATCACAACAAACTACAAGCTGTCTGGCTTCATCCCTTACCTCCCCCCAGCATCTCAAAAAACCCCCACCTGACTTAGATTTTAGTATAAAAATAGCTTTCAACCTGGACAATGAAGGTAAAGGACAGCCTCAACTCCCAGGGAAGTGCGAGGGCCTGGCAGCTGGGCAGAACCACAGTGGGTAAAACTCAGCCTTCCCTTGCCCAGAAGCATCAACCCCCATGAAGAAGTGAGCTGTGGGCAACATCATGCTTTGCCTTCTGCACCTCTTGCTGTTTTAACTGGCTAATTTGTAGTGGATGAGGGTATGTAACCTGTGAGCTGGGAATAACCATCTTCCAGTGAACGTAAGAGAGAAGGAAGGATGCTGAACTTCTGTCCATGCAAGCTGGTCTCAGAGGACAAGTAGCAACTATTCACCACAAACCTGTCAATGCAGTTGTCTTAAAAAAAAAAAAAACACTACAAAGGCAGAGCTAAATTTCTCACCATCATAAATGTTGTCTTTTCCTGACTTGAACCTCTGGCTTCTTTGCAAGGCCTTTTGTTTCTCTACTGGGTAGCGGAGGTTTGTTATTAGTCCTTGATTTGGCTTTTCATAAGTGTATATTAGGTCCTTTAATGTTCGGAAGATCATCTCTGGAACATCTTTAGAAGTCTGCAAGCAAGGGAAAATAAAGTTTGTTTGCAACAGCCCTTCACACAGAGTCTCCTAAATGAAAGGATAGGTTGTTTCTTGTTTACCAAAGGGCTGGTTTGTAAACAGATTTGGTTACAGAATATTATACTATCCTTAAAAAACTAGCGATACCTGTTTGGTGGCGTGCTTACAGAAAGCATGGTGTAACCTCCCTCACCGTCTTTTTTTTTTTTAAAAAAGAACATCAGTTTAAAATATTGTCTCAGATGTGTGCTGCAGCAATCCTCTACAGCTGAGTGTCCAAGAGTGACAGCATTACAGACTTTCCTCTGGTCTTAGAGCGCAAGTTTAGGGGCAACAGATTCAGTTCTCACTTAAAATGTTGGATTTAAACAACTATGTGACGAGCGGAAGCCAAATGTTTCACAAAATATTAGCATTGTCAAGCAAAGACCATGTGCAGAGGCAGTGTACATGTCTGAGGATCCACATAAAAGTCCCTGGCACCAGCTTTCACTTTTAGGTAGGAGTTTATTATTTGTCCAGCTTTGTTACTTTCACTGGAGACTCCTGAGGCCAAACATGAAGGAGGGAACTTGTAAGCAGGGGAACAGTGTTCTCACAAACTGCTTTTTAACATGTGGGGTCATACAGCTGGACTGAACTGCTTCCATAGCACAGCCCCTCAGTGATCTGTACAGAGACTTTGCAATGCTGGTGACTTCAGGACAGTGAAGCACATTAATCAGCTCTAATCACAGGGAAGGTGCTGCTACCAGTCATTAAAAGTGAATGGGGCTTTGGTTTCGCTTCATTCGTTATCTGACAAAGAAACATGTCTTCATTTTCTTTGCTTTTCTGCATCCTTTATCTTGCCTTCAGCCCTGTATAGACTGAGTGCCACTGCCTCTGTGTACTCCATCTGGCTGGGACTGAGTTCACTTCCTTTGTAGCAGCCTGTATAGTGCTGTGTTTTGAATTTGTGACTAAAACACCCATGTTTTGGCTGTTGGTGAACAGTGCTTGCACAGCCTTGAGGTTGACTCTTTTTTGCACTGCTCCCCCTACAAGGAAGCTGGGGGTACGCAAGATGCTGGGAGGGGACACAGCAGGACAGCGGACCTGAATTGACCAAAGGGCTATCCCATCCCATATGACACTGTGCTCAGCTATAAAAGCTCAGGGAAAGTGGGGATGTTTGTGGTTATGGCATTCGTCTTCTCAAGTAACCATTATGAGTGCTGAGGCCCTGCTTTCCAGGAGGTGGCTAAACATCTTCCTCCTGACGGAAAGTAGTGACTGTACTCCTTTTTTGCTTTGCTTGCAGGCACAACTTTGCTTCACCTATTAAACTGTCTTTTATCTTGACCCAGGAGTTGCCTCACTTTTGCTCTTCATGTTCTCCTCCCCTCACCCTGTCCTGCTAAGAGGGGGAAGGAGTGAGCAGCTGTCTGGGTGTTTAGCTGCTGGTCTGGGTCAACCTCCCACACTCTAGAAAGTTTATGGCTGAATCTGGCCCTTAAAAAAAAGCCTAAACAATCTTCCCTCCACCATCAATATATTATTTCAGTCCATTATTTTAGTAAGCCAAAACAATCTGACTTGAAAATTGGAAGAACAGAACTCTTCTTTCACCTTCTTGGAAAAACTTTGTAAGGCAAATTGGGTTTGAAAAAACTAAAAGTGTTTGAGTTACTATCTGCTGATAGGCATGACAGCAAACCCCAGCAGAGTGCCTATAGTCCAAAACAGATTATTTTTTGTCAACAAACCATTCTTCTTCATGGGTAATTGTGCCTTTTGTACTCAGTCCAAACCACTAATGAGCAAGAAATTACCAGCATATGAGAGCTTGGTGTGTCCTTAGTGACTTCCCCATTCTACTTAAGTGCTACTTAACTATTGGTTGTCCTCTTGGCTGTCCTACTCCAAGCAGAAGAGCAAACCAGCTTTTTAAGTGTCCTCTCACCTTGCCTAGGGGTTTGATTGATGCAGTCTGCTCTTACCCTTATTTGAGCAATGAGCAGCATTATCTGGGGTCATCCCTTCAGATGCCTCAGAATCACACATAATTATAGATAAGTCTCTTTAAATCAAAAAGATCATTGCAATATTCCAAATCCCTACAAGATGCTAGGTGCAATGGCAGAGCTTTCAAATAGAAAAAGCTAATTAGGAACAAGGACAAGTAATGAAAGTGACAGATTTTTCTTCAATGCTATAACAAATAGTCGAATCAGAAAGCAGCTGGTCAACAAGTAAGAGGTCCACTTAGGTTATAAGAGAATTCTACAAAAATAATAGCTACTGCTGAGCTCAAATGTAATAATAACATTAAAAAAAATTAAGAACTGAGTAGAGAAGAAAGCAAACTTGGAAATACTTTCTAAGGTAATGTGTTCATGTATATTTTTTTTAAAATTAAGACAATAATCTTTAGTGCAAACTTTACAGATGAAATGAAAGTCACTCACCTGTATTCTAAAATAGCCTTGGTGTTCCCTGAAGATACGGTAAGTGTAGATGAGATTTTCAAATCTGTGAAAAACATTGTTATATACATTATGCTTTTCATCAACTGTCAGACCACTGCAACTTGCTTAGACTGCTACAGCTGATCTTAATATCCAGCTTTTGTTTTTCTTTGTTTGCTTGTATCTTAAACTGCAATACAACGAAAGTCTAAAAACAAAGAAACAAATCTAAATGAACGCCTGATGCTAAATAGCATCAATTTTATGTACTTATATATATATATATATATGCATTCACTTTTCCATTTGATTCATACACCGGAGCTTTTCCAAGTCATTTGTTTAATTGTCTGTTAGCCAAAATCAGTCACACATGTCAGAAACCCACATATTACTTTGTCATGCCTTGCCAGTTCAGACCTACACCCCCATACATTGCTATGCAGATCTGTACCAAATTTATGGCACTCTTTTTTGCCTTGTAAACTTAGGCCACATATGGTAAATGTAAATAAGAATGCTGTGTTCAGTCTGCAGTCACTGCACTTCACTTAGCACAGATCCTGATAAAGAATGTCCAGCTAGCTCGCCTCCGCCTCAGCTGACTGCCCAAGTTCCCTCCAGCTTCTTAGCTGCATTTCCTGTGCTGAGTTTTGTACTTCTACAGCTCCAATAAAATAGATTTGGTAAGTCAAAGCAGTGAAAATGCTTCAAGTTTATACATCCAGAAAGGTCTGGATGTCACTGAGAATTTGTATTACTTGTTCTGAGACAGGAAAACACAAAACAGACCCTGGAATTCCACTGTAGGTGCCATGTAAGAGAAGAGTCCTTGCTTCTATAGGGTGCCTAAGTCCTCGCTCAGCACCAGCAGAATTGATTTGCGGCACTAGAAGCCACTTTGTGCAGATGTCAGCATGGGATTAAACTGCAAGCAAAGGGCTGGTGCACGTGTCATTGAGATCTACAGTATCTGCATCAGCAGTGAGGAGGAGGGGAGCTGTGGCCTGGTCGACTCTCAGACCTTACGCCGGGTTGGAGTAATCATCGGACAACCTTTTCACAATGGAAAGACAGTGCTAATATGTACCCCTCCTTCAAAAATGGAGCTATAAGGTAGACCTAAATAGCTACAAAGACAAAAGTGATGTGCTGCTCTTTCCCAGAAGTCATACTCTAGGGGAAAATGGGCTGGCTTCCAGCTAATTACCACATCCACCAGAGAAGCAATCACCTTGCAAAAGACTGATCTACAGCTGAGAACGAGAGATTCGCCTGGGATATGATACAAGACTGCAATGCTGTATGGAAACAAGCACACTGGCATGGAGTGATGCTCTGAAAGATTGTCTTTGTGAATGTCTGCTATCATATTGATAGAAGTTGGGAAAGATGTAAGGGGAGAGAGAGAGAGAAGGAAAACCATGTTAATCTAAGCAGTGGTAAAGAATGATTCTGTAGAAAACTTGCAGTTCACCTTTTACGTGAGATCTGCTGGTATTTCTCTGAAGAAGAGAACAAGTGAGGAAGTTGCCGTGGCATACATAGGAGTGTGAAGTTACAGAATGTTTTTGATGTAATCTACTTTCCTTGTGGGAGCCCTCAAGTAATTGCAGCACCAAAAATTCATACTGTTCCCCCACACTGCCCCACAGAGTAACCCCTTGAGCTGTCTACCTTAATGTATTCCAGATCTGATCAGGTACCAGGTTACCTCAACTTAGAATATGTTTGATTTGACCAGAGTATAACTGGAGATGTATGTGTTACTGGACATATACTCAAGAGCATGCATGATATTAGGGACTTAACAGTGGGCTGAGTATCTGACCCCCACTGCCAAAAGCAGACACTATGGTGGAAGGAAGAGACACCACATTTTTAACAAAGCGCAAGACTGGAAATGTTTGCAAACATCTGGTAGCATTAAAGACATGAGAAGTTGTGCAGTAAAACTGAATGAGGCAGAGATAGAAAAGCAAAACAGAAGGGAGACTAGAGTTTGCAAAATGAGAGACTGTTTCATATCTTGAAATATAAAATCACTCTAATCAGGGATTTCAAAGAACTTATGAACTAAACCTAACACAGACCTCTATATAAGAGTAATTTGATTCCACAGACATCCCATCCTCTCATTTATCTTATACTTCTCTGTCATGGGTTAAGCACAGACTGCTTAAAGTTAACTCTGTTAATTTTTTTTTTCCTTCCTCTTCTTCATAAATAGCTAGCAAGAGGCTGTGTTTTGGATTTATGCTCAGGAGAAGCTGATAAGACCAATGTTTTGTTCTGCTGCCAAGGTCAGCAGACGAGCAAAGAGGCACAGCCGCTTGCTAGCTGGGATTTGCTCTTGGGTTAAGATTGAGAACCAGACTGACCAATGATTTATTCCATATCATGCACGTCATGCCCAGTATATAGGTAAGAACTCCCGGAAGAGTGCTCTCTTTTGCCTTCGCTCCGCTCTCGGTTTCGGTGCCCTCTTCTGGCTCCACATTGCTCTCCCAAGGCCTTTTCCCCTCCCACACACACACTCCGGTCCGGGATGCT